GCATATATTTTTGGAATCAACAGATGAGGTAAATGGGTTAAAGCCCCTCCTGGGGAAAGGAAGTAGGTGGCATATTCCACATCTAAGATTCAATATACTTGCCATAGACCACACAGGACTTTTCTAAAATCCTATTCACACTCTCAGGTCAGTTAGAGTAAGATTCTGCATGAACCAAGCAGTTGAGGAACAGAGTTTGAGACTTGCTCAACCAATGGGAGGGAAGACCATTTCTTAGAAGGTAAGAATAGTCTCTCAGAGAATGGGGAAGTGAACAGAACATGCATCAAAAACTTGCCTCTTGGTTTGGCGAAATAACTAGTGACTAGTGAATAAGCCAAAATCTTGGCAATTGAACTGGAAAGGAAACAGCATTTATTGGAAGAACAAAATTTATACTGACTTGTTGAACACATTTTAATGCTGATCCTAGAGGTTGTATTCAGGTTACTTGTAACCAAGTTACTTTCTTCTTTCAGCAAATGTGTGTATATGATGCTATTTTTCCCCTGGAGTTGCTCTGTCTTCATTTCACTAATGGGTATAGAAGCCACTACCTTACAACCAGAAACCTCAGCCCCTCCCAGTCCTACAAGGCAGGCCTATGCGTAATAGCATTACCTGAATCTTCTCATGGACAGTCAGCTGAAAATAGCATCTGACTTGCTTTGCATTTTCCAACCCATATGCTTACCCGATATAAATGTTGATTAATAACATGCATCTTTAAGACACAAACCCATCAGGTTTGCTTTGCATATATAGCCACAAGCCGAGAATCAGCTTATCTGGTTTCCTTATATCAGGGCAGCTTGCCTCTCATAAGGGCAAGGTGGTGTCCTTTCCATATGTTTGCCAAAATGCTTATTTAATAGAAACTATTTATAAATGTTAATTATAGCACTTTTTGTTCCTTGAAAACCACATGTTCATGTTTGTTGAAGTTTTTTCTTTTCTCTTCTTTTTGACCACAACCGGCTTAACTTACTGGAAAAAAATAATATTCATATTTAAAGAGGTAAATTTTCCAGCTGAAACTGAAAACACTAACTGCTTCATCCGTGATGATCTGAGAAACCAGCATTTCTCACAGAGGCCCATTTTGCTGAGTTAACATTTACATGTGTATGTTGAAAGAAAATTAGGTTCCAAAGAAGTAGAGGGGCCCTACCAAACAAATTCCCTTAAGACAATATTGCAGGAATGGTCAAGACCAGTGATGAAAGCTTTTACACCCGAAAAAGCCTTTCTGAAAGTCTTTAAATGGCATCTGAACACTGACACCTATACTGATGCAGCTGTGCTATCTCTTCCACCCTTCCTTGTTTACCTGTGTTAATAAACAATGGTGTTGTATTGTGTTGTGTTGTGCAAGAAGCAGAGCTATCTCTGGCAATGTGTGGTCCAAGACAAATAACTACTGGATTTGGCTTTAGATGCACATCAAAGGCAGCCTCAGAGAGGAAAAGGAGTGGAGGAGCTATTCCTGCTAGCTACCTGAAGGCCCTGTTGAGAAAGCGAGTGGAGACATTAACCTTGATTTAGGCAGCCTCAGGCATATTGTCTCTCAGGAGTTTACAGAATGGCTCAAGGCCACGTTTAGCACCATCTGAGAGCATAACCATTGCTTTCCTTTGCTGTGCTTTGGTAATAGCAGACTCCAAGGGCAAAGCTTTGTTTCCCTCATCCATTAACACACAAGAACATGAAGAGTTTTCTGCTCCTACCTTGGTTTTGCGGACTAGAGGGAGCAGTGATGAAGTCAAAAACAAGACTAACAAACCACTGTTCTCTTTAGCCAGAGAACAAGTCAAGGGCTGCTTTTGCAAGGAGGCAGACTTGGCTTTGTTTTTTGCAATTGAATATTTGACAATACTTGTTTACTTAAAGCCTATTTTTAACCTACTTTTTTTCTTCTTTCTTTCTCTTTCTTTCTTCCTCTCTCCTTCTTTCTCTCTCTCTCTCTCTTTCCTTCCTTCCTTCCTTCCTTTTTTTTCCCCCTTCTTTTTCCTGGCCATTCACACTAGGAAGTCTTGCTAACCAGACAAGATTACCTTTGTCTTACCACAAACTGGGTTTATATGAAGGTTTCTCAACAGTGACACCCCTGACATTTTGGGCTGGATAGTTCTTTGTTGTCAGGGATGTCCTGTGCATTCTAGAGTGTTTAGTAGCATCCCTGGCCTCTACCTACTACCGGTAGCACCCCCATCTCCACCCCACTTGTGACAACCAAAAATTTCTCCAGCAAATGACAAATGTTTTCTGAGGGGCAAAAATCACCACCAGTTAAGAACCAATGGTTATATGATTAGACAGAATGAAATAGAAAGATGCCTGGAGAGGCCAATTAGAGATCCTTGCTAATCACTTTATAAATGCAATCTATAAATGGCTTTATTTTTAGTAAACTTTTTAACATTTTTAGATCTCATACACACCCTGCTTTGATGCTAGCCCTGAAAAGTTTGATATAATGCTAACGTGGCCTTGAACTATATTTTCTTTCTTCCTGAGTTTGCCTGCTACTATAACTTAAAGATCTTAGACACACCATTACTCACTTGTATCAGAGCCAGCATTGCTTAATCAGATTATCAGATAGATACAGTATCATTGAGACAAAATCTCATTATGACATAAGATAAAATATATCTTTCATTAACAAAACATATGAAGGAAGTCCCATAGGATCAACTCAAGTTAGAAACTGGGATCTCTTTCTTATTTTGCAACTTATAGACTGTAGCTCGGAAACTCTGGAAAGGACTTTAACCACAGCAGTTAAACAAGGTCTGTGAGATGCTGAAAATATATGTTTTGATAACATTTGATTAATAAATATTCTCACTTATTAGAAAAGTCTTTCCAATAACCTGAATGTGCTACTTTCATTTTAGATGCAGCTTATTAGAAAAGGACCTAGTAAATGAGAGTGGTTAGGTTCAGAGATGGAGAGTGAATTTTAGAGAAAAGCAGTAGTTGTGACTCATTCACTTTCTAAACTTTTACACAGTCATTTACGATAATTGTTTTCTTTGCAATATATTTTCATAAGTCTTCCCCTTTGTAGTGTCCTAATTACTGGTAGCACTATTATAGTTATTCTAATTTATGCAATTAAAGGTCCGTGACAATGAAAACATTTCCCCATTTCCCCAATTGCATTTATACTCTCAGGGTACCAAACCAGAAGACCAGACTGAAGAATTTACTGGAGAAAAAAGAAGCACTCTTGAACTATATGCCAGGCCTCTTTTTCCTGGGACTCTAATGGATTCAAACGACTTAAGAGACAAGATGAATTGTCGAAAATGGTTCTTTCAAAAGACCTCACCGAAGGCCAAAGACAAGACTCACTGAGGCCAAGGTATATGTGAACTATATTCTAAAGAGGGGCTTTGATTTCCACATCACTGTTCCTCCATACTGTCTCTGTAATTTAATTCTTTCTTTCTTTCTTTTTTTTAGCTTGTTATTAGAGGTGAATTCTGCTTCTTCTGGTATGTATCTATATTTCCTAATTAGTATTACATAGGGGGCTCAAGAGCCTTCACACCCAAGAGCTCTTAAAATATAACTTAGCTGGTCATTGTTCAGAAACTGATCATAGGATAGGACTCCTGTCCAGTTTTGTTAATCTATCTCAACAATACTACTCAGGAGTAGTATTGAAGATTATCATACTTGAAGATTCTCATATTTTAGAAGAAATGTAATATATCATTTTTTTGTTTGGTTTGTTGGTAAATCAATGAATACTTGACAAAATAGAAATAAATATTTTACCAATTATTAAACCCTAAATTCATTGAAATTCAGCACATTCAGCACATTTCTAAATAAATATGCTAATGCCTCTCTTATTGTATTTAATAGCTTATATCAAATGTATTTTCAGAAATAAACTCAACTGGTCTTACCTTTACATCTTGTGGAGATGGCAGAAATTCAGTGTCCTAGAGCAAAAAAAAATTTGTTCTGAGTTATTTTTATAAGTCAAAGCCTCCTTTAATAATAATTGAAAAATATTATCTAAATTTTATTGTGACAAGTATGGTCTTACCAAGACATTCACATAATTTTTCAGCTGATCAACAATATCTATAAGTTGACGCATTCTAATCATGAGGCGATCTTGATCTTGGGAGCTGGATTTATGGACCAACGTCCCCAAGAAGATGACCATTAGACAGATGACTATCCTCTCCATGTTGCCAGGACTGGATTTCATAAGTCCAACAGTAGAGTAAGACCTTGGTCTCGTTTCCACTTCAGCTTGACTGAGAACAGGTTGTCAGTAAGCTACCTATTTATTCATCCTTCAGGGAGAGGTAAAGCCCTCCCATTGCAGCCTGGAAATCTTTGTAGAATGGATGAATGTGAGTAACTCTTTTTTCTTTTCCACTGGCTAGGTATACGTGTGCATGTGCTAATGTGTGGGGGCAGGGATTGATGGAGTCAAAGAAATGTGCCCCATCTGCATCTTTGACAGGAAAAGAGAGAAATGGGTGAATTCCAATTTTCAGCATGAATCAAGAAAGATGTATAATAAACAGTAGGTACTACAAGACTTCAAAGAAGTAAACAAAAACACTTTGATCTCTTTTTCTCAGACTCCTGTGGCATCTTACCTGTTCTTTCTGACAGTCATAACGGCATTTTGAGAATGAGTAAAGTGGCAACATGTGCTTTCATGCAGGACTTTTTTTTATGGTAATAATTATGTCTTTTGACTGAAATCATCCAGTATTCCATCATAAAGGTAGGAGGAGAGACTGCCTTTTAGGAAATTTAAATAAAGGGGATATTTTCCAAACCAGCATGAATATTTTAGGTTCCTATCATGTTTTAAGGGTTTAAAATAGAATTTCCTTCCAACTCCTCACCAAAGCATCATTAACTAACTCTAATGTTGACTTTTGACATTTATTTAACAATCTGATTTATAAATATCATAAATGATTCTAAGGAACTCTATAGAAAATTCATTTCTGCCAATCAAGATCTCACTCTACCATCTTTACAAAAAAAACCCCAAAATTCTCTAACATCCATCTGTTCCGTATTATGCATCAATTAAATGAATGAAAATTGCTAATATTCATTCTTGTCCTAACCAAAAAATATTTTCAATCAGCAAAATCAAAAATACTCAAAAATGATTTTTTTTCTCATAGGGTAATGTTACTTAACTCTGTTAGATACTATTTCCTCTAGGTGTGGGCAACACATTTCTAACTGCATCTACAACTAGGTAGAGGTTAATAAAAGACTCAAAATCCAGAAATGATTTTATCATTGTTCTCTCTTCTGCTTCTCTTGTCACTATGACTCTTTAACCATTTGAGAAAGTTGAATATAATATTCTAGCCAGGAAGAGTCTCGTACCACAGGCAGTTAGGTCTTACAGATAAAACTCTTGACTATAGATTTTATTTATTCATTTATTTATTTATGTTATTACATACTTTACTAGAATACCATACTTCATTCTAGAATGTTATGTAGCCAATATAAATTGGATTTTGGGTTTGATTTGCTCTGAAGGTTGATTGTAATCTTTTTATCATAGAATATCTATTCGAGAGTCTACAGGTTTGCCCTTACACAGTAGATAAGAATTCTTATAATATGATCGAGAATTCCTCCTATAATCATTAAATTCTATAGGGGAGGGTTCTGTGTAAACTTATGAATTCTTATGGACTAAGGGTTGCCACTTGGCACCTCCACATTGCTTGCATGGTTTTTGTACATGCTTTCCGTATCTACCTAAATAGATGTGCATCTCCTGAGAAGACACTAACCACAACGGCTAAGAGTTCAATTTCTAAAGCAAAGTGCTTAGGTTAAACTCAGGCCCTAACACGTAATAACACATATGACCCTGAGTATGTTACTGCAAAACGAAGATAAGTATAGACTGTAATCATAGGGTTGTGATGAGGCTTAAATGAGACATTCCAAGTAACAGGGCTACTAAGTACTGCACATGATAAAATCCCAGGAGCTTTGTGTGCTAATCATAAATGAGGGTGGTGAGGAGAACTTAAGGAAGCCTAGGGAGGCTCAACTGATCCATGGAAAGAAGAGAATGGACAAGTTGATGTTCAGCCAAAATACATGGGTGTGGCTGTGCCGGTGGTAAAGAAAAAAAGCTGAAAGCCTTTCGTACTGTTTAGAGAGAACGGCTGCTCTTAGCGGGCTGGAGAGCCTCAATACCCCAGTACCTCCCTGAGACCTCCCAACCCTCTGTATAATCCATCAAGCAGCACATCAGGGAGCTCCAGAGTCCTGCTCTAGCATTATGACCTAAGACCTTTCTGAAAGTCAAAATTCCTGCCTTAAGTGGAGTATCAGTTGTTAAGCATTTTGAATATCACCCCTGGTGTGGTAGACTGACTAATGATGTTCAGGTCCTAATCCCTGGAACCTGGGAATGTGTTACCTGATATGACAAAAGGGACTTTGCGGGTGTGATTAAATTAAGAATCTTGAGATGGGGAGATTATCCTGGATTATCCAGTGGACTCATTGTAATCATAGGAGCAGGAGGATCAAAGTCAAAGAAGGGGCCATGATGACAGGAGTAGACATTGGAGTGATGTGGGGCCAGAAGCCAAGGAATGCAGGGGCCTCCAGAAGCTGGGAATGGCAGGGAGCAGAGTCTCCCCTCGAGCCTCCAGAGGGAATGTAGCCCTGCCCACACCTTGATTTTAGCCCCGTAAAGCTCCGTTGGGACTTCTGACCTTCAGAACTGTAAGATAATAAATTTATGTCATCTTAAGCCACTGAGTTTGTGGCAATTTGTTACAGCAGCAATAGGAAAGTAATATACCTGGGTATGGAATTTTTTAACCCAAAATTGAAAAAGTGGGAAAGAGAGGAAGGAGTGATAAGAGGAGAGAAATAGCAAGGCTGGAATTTTGTTGGCTTTTGGGAGGTACAGGAAGAGAGGACAAGGAAGTGTGAAGAGGAAGGGAAGTAAGATTAGTGTAGCTGCTACATGGTCTGGGACTTTAGAGATAATGTATAATGAAGACTTTCCAAGAAGTCCGTGTGTGTCATAATAACTTCTTCCTAGTCCTGAGAAGATTTCACTTAGGATTGACAGTATGTTTTGAAGTTATGGAGTCCAATGTGTATTTCATTTGAATTTATCACTATGTGGAGATGGACCTCAGGGTGGGAGCAAAGAGGCCCAGAATTATTTGAGTCACGTAGACAAAGTAGATTATTCACTGATTGGATCTAACCTCATTTTCCCTATGAGCCTGTGTTTCTTAATTGTGCAATTTTGTGCAGTGCTGTGATTTTTAGAAACATGTATGTCACATTATAGCAGAACTGACTGTATTTTGTCTGTAAGTGTCACACTTAAGCCTCAACAGTGACTAGTTATAGCCACACAAAAAGCAAGACTAGGATATAGGATTTATTGTTAAGGAGGGAGATAAAAGGGAAGAGAAGAGGAAGGAAAAAGGAAGGGAAAGAGAATAAATAACAAACTATTTCTCATTTTTATACATGGCCCATCTGAGCCCAGGAATTTAAAAACTCTGGTGTCCACTCCTCCCTTGGTCCTTTCCCATTAACACAAAGGAGCTTATCTTGGTATCTGTGGACTGCCAGGGCTCTATAAATGTGTTTCATAGGTCCATGAGCCTCCTGAAATTATTTGCAAAATTTTGTGTTTATATTTATGGGAAGAAGAAAACCTTAAATTTCATCAGTTTCTCAGAGGAAATGTCATGCAACTGCTGTATTTATTTTTCAGGCTTTAGAGATTTCTGTGGAAGGCAATGTGAACCATTGTTCTTCAGCCCGTGCACACTATTGTGCACGAGTATGGCAGCTCCAGAATTTCTAAACAACAGAAGGTGAGAGGCAGTAGATTGGCTGAAGCCCCACTTGTATAGAAAACAAACTGCTGTTACTTAGCTTCCATGTTTATCTGGTACCTTGGAGTAAGGTGATGAGTTTTACTAGATTTGTTCTTTCCAGGAGTACAACCAAGGTCGTTACCATGAGAGCATAAAGCTTTAGTCATCTATCCAAGGGAATTTATGGACATATATCAAGAATTTTCTCTAATGGACTGTGTTTGTGGAATACCTGGTCTGGGTAGAAATGAGGCCAGGGAACTGAAGGAATGCTTCCAGCCAGGGAGGAGCAGACTAGGAGTGAGAGGAATAAACAGGAGGAGTTGAAATCTGAAAATGAACGGTTTTGCATGGGGAATGCTATGCCAGGTCTAAAACTGTGCTGGGTACTATTTGTACCCAATTCCCTTGCCCTGTCCTTAGCTCTCCCTTGTGACCACTGCATGTCAAATATTCCTTTTCTGCTTTCACTTGCTTTGGCCCCTCACTGGTAGAATCAGATGTTCTGCATGGCAAACTCTGGAGGCCTGCAGTATTTAGAGTTATATTAAGTTATCGTAATATGTACCACTACTACATACTAAAGGTATCCAGACAGGCGGCTTGTCTCTGGGCTAGTGTGAACCTTACATAGGAGGGCTCTAACTGGAGGAAATTTTTCACTAAAATAATTCAAGGCAGTTTTTGTACTTTCCAACAATGTTCAGGTAACAGCTGAGAATATTCTAACTTGTTTAACTTGAGGAAGAAAAATCAAGGACGAGAGTCCTCAAGGACTTGCCCAAATCTTCTCTATAAAACCTGCCTTGAATGCTCCTCTTCTCTCCTTCCTCTGAACTCAGTGCATATATTGATATCACTGGCTTGATTTTTTTTCTAGAACATATGTGAAAGTCATGTGTATGTGTGTATATATATTTATAAAACCCATTATTACATAACAAGGGCAGTTCCCTCTAATATTCAAATTTAATGACTCTGATTCACTATTGTGCATTCCAAGAAGGCCAGGGCCTTGCGTAGACCAAAGGGTCAGTCCTAGACACTCACTGTTGTCTTGAGAGAGAAAAACAAAAGCCTTCTCAGGCCCCTATGTCCCTACCTCTTATTGCTGGCAGCCCCATGGTCTGGTGGTCAGTGAACACACCGTGCAGTGGAGGGGCACTCACTGATGCTGCTCATCCACGGTGGCTTTTCTGGGAACAGGGCCTCTATGCTGGTCGTAGACTCAGGTGGGTCAGTCTAGGATACCCTAAGCCTGGGCTCTTCGGGGACAGGTCTCTTAGCTCACATTCACACAGACCCACTTTTTGGAAGCACAGTCCTGCTGCTGATGTGCTGGGTCCCAGAGGAGCTTGGGCAGCCACACAGGCCCTCGCCTCAGAACTTGGCTCTAACG